TCCTGCTGGGAAGCAGTACAAATTGGTTGTGTTTGATGAGTTTTCCCCGGGAACCGGAGCCGTTTCCAATGGACTAAATGTCAGAAGGGTTTTAAGGGTTAGCATCATAATCAAAAAGCTCCTTTTTTTGTTTGTATTTTGAAGCTGTGGTGAACTTGCAGATGTTTAGAGAAGTAACCTGGCGTGTTGAACCGAATGCTGGACATCACTTCCATGCAGCTGGCGGAGGGGCTGAGTTTCCCCGAGTCCTTGTCCATTGCTGGCAGTGGACACCCCAGAGCTGGCACAGTTACAGAGGGCTGATAACCTGCCGCTCATGTTCAGCACCTGTTTAGCAGACTTTGCTCTTATCTAGGCATTGAGACGTGGGTGTGGGATATCAAACTGCTTCCCCTTGACTGGCTTTACATGCGTGTTTGTAATTTATGCACAGCATTATGTGTTCAGCAACAATGAGGGCAGAAAAAAAAAGGGTGTATCAAATAAACTCCACTGTGCCAAATACTTAACAAATAGTGTAACTGCAAGTATTTGATTCTTGGTTTTCAGCCATGTTAAGAATCACTTGATTAATGAAGGAGTTTAAGGAAAAAAAGTTATTAAGCTATGCAGTGCCATTGTTATGTTGGGTGGTAAATGATGCTTTTTAGACCATTAGATTGGTTTAGTGTATCCTGTCTGCTAAAATAGAGATACTGCATCCATAAAACAATGAATTTAAAAAAGGTACAGGGTGCATAACTGTCTCATAAAATATGTATAATTGTCAAGTATAAGCCTTTGAAATCATTCTGTACAGTTCTCTTCACTCTGAAAATTTATTACTTAGACTGCTGTCTTTTCAAATGTTAGCTCATAATTTTATACTATACACACACATTCAGACTCCAACACAAATGTCACAGAATAGAACCTTCCGAAAAGCCTGATTGCTTGAAATTCCATAACCCCTTTCACAGTTTCTTTTTTTTCCTCTCTGAAAGTCCAAGGTGAAGGAGAATAGCATGCTAACGTGATGCAAAACAAACTCCCAGTGTTCAAGAGCTGTGGCTTGTCAGTACAGTCAAAAGTCCCCCTTGACCGGAGTTATAGAAACAGGATGCCAGGGCACTTAGCGTTTTCATTTTTGGTTTTGTTTATTTTTTTTCATTTAATCTCTTCTCTTGCTATGTACGGGAGACACAGTTGAATGGGGTTACTTTCATTATTTGTAAGCTGCAACTTAAAATCCCTGCATGATTGTTGTTTTATTTCTTTTTATAATACGACTTTTGAAAAGCTCTCTCCCCATCCCACTCTTTTTTTTTTTAAAGATGTATTAGATGCCTGCATCACGAAGGGCTTTACTGTCAGTGCTTTGGTAGAGATTCAAGAACAGAGCTTTAGTTTAAAGAAAACACACAGACCAAAACCTTCATCCATCCCAGCAGGCTCTTTGTTTCTTCTGATTTCAAAACCACAAGCCAGTTTTGCCTCCAACCCAATTTTTGTTAGAGAATAACAGATGAAGAGTCTCAGACATCCTCCCGCTTCCCAGATTGCAGTCAGGGCCTTCGCCTGTCAGCGCTTTGCTTCCATCCGCCAGCTGCCTTAACCACGCAGGGCACTTCCGAGCAAGGATGGAGTTACAAAAAGGCCCCTTCCTGGGGGCAGAAGCAGTGGTCTGAGCTGGGAGGTCCAGATCCAGTGCTGGGAATTTTTTCTCCATATTCAGGGGCATTGAAATTCAGGGTGCTGTTGAGACCTCAGTCTCGGCAGAAATGTTCTCTTGCCGCTTCCAAGCACTGTGTGCCCTGCATGGGTGTCTGCTGAGGAATGGGATGTTTGGGAAAAAAGACTGCTTGAGGTTTAGCAGGCTCGGTGGGGTTGTCCAGCTGCCTTGCATGACTTCAGGTTGGGGTTTCCTTTCCTGTGCACAGATACCACCTTGGCATAGCCCCAGTGGAGTCAAAAGGGGACCCCAATCTAAGATTGGTGCAGATGACGCTAGAAACAGTCCCATCGGTTTCTTTGCATCCTTGTTAACCAGGAGATGCGTTTTCAGAGCCTTCTTTTTATACATATTGAAATAATACATTTTTCTGTCTTTGCCCACCACATCTCGGCTGCACAGCGGGACTGAAAGGCCATCACTTGAATTATCTACACCAGCCTTCCATTCCTTAGGAATTCAGCTAAGAAGGGCCTCACACCGCTGTGGCCCTGCAAGGTGCACTGAACTACTTGGTGCTGCTACTGTTCATCTCAGCTGGGTCTCACCTTGTGGGGAAGGTGAAAAGGGAAAGATGCAGAGAGGAATTAGCTTTGATTAGCTGAGTCAGCTATGCTTCAAAATGGTCTGCGGACATTTGAAAAGTGATTGGAGTATTTCCAAATGGCTGAAATGCACTTGCTTTTTTTTCTTGGGGGGGGGGGGGAAGAAAAAAAATCAAGGGAATGAATGAGATTTGGAGTCCCTCTGAGTTTTATGTTCATCACGTTGCTGTTGGAGGCAGTGTACTTCAGGTTTGCCTTTGTGTCTCGGTCAGGGACCTATTTTTTCTCACTGAACAAGGCCCTGGGAGAGAGAAGGGCAACTCCATCTCATAACCAGCCCTTTCACTCCACCGCAAACCTGAGGCAACCTGAAGGCTACCAGCACTGTGAAGCTTCAGCCCCCACATCAGCCAGGGCTGGTGCTGCTGTGTGAGAGTTCCTCACAGCTGGGTTTGTGTTGGGCTCGGTGTTTCTTCAGGCTCGGACAATCTGGGGGTGATGTTTGTTTTGTCCTTGGCAGGACATGGGGAATTGTCAGTGTTAAAGACAAATGCAAATGCATCACTGGGCTGGTGTGATAACAACTCTGCTCCTTTATTCACGAGGGTTTCCGGACTTATTCCCACTCTGCCTTTAGACACAGCCATGCTCATCTGTCTCCCTAATTTCACGTGACCTATCTTTGCAGACAGAAGCGGGTTTGTTGTTGTTCTCTCTCTAGACCTGATTAGTGCCTGCAAAGTTCACAGGCTTTCTGTGTGTAGGGCAGAGCACCCCTGAATATAAGCAATAATACTGACCTGTTCCCATTTGCTTTGGGAGTTTTTGCTTTTCTTACCTCAGTCTGAGTTCACCTCTCCCAACATCCCATGCTGCTGCTGCGAGTTGCCTTTTTTGTTGGCAGCAGCTCCAGGAGACAGGCAGCCAAGATGCAGTTGGTGGGAACGTAGGCAGCAGCTTATGGAGATGGGCAGTCGTGTGATGGGAGCCGGTGGCATGAGCCAAGCTTTGGTTATCTGATGGCTGAGATTGACC